GGGGCACAGATACACCGACATTGACTTTTTTATCCCTTTTATCCACTCGCTTTCCAAGTCAGGGAAGAAATCAGGAGGAGGAAAAGTTAATATAAGGAACAAATCGATATTTGGAAACTACATTGTGCAACTGCGCGTTCCCTTAAAAAGGAAATTGTTACCGTAAGGCGAGGAGCTTCACGTTTTTTTAAAGGACATCCCGCAATATCTTTAAAAAATCGTAGAAAATGTATCATCATTTTTTACCTCCTCCTTTTCGTTATGAATGTCTTTGATGTGAGTTTCCCGGCCGTGTGCAAACCTCGTATCATGTCACTGGAGACTTAGATATAGTGTTATGTCCCTTTCGTCTGAAACCAGAGAGGAGAGAGCGAGTGTGTTATCGAACTTTCTAGACTTTATCGACTGGAAAGTGCGTGGGGTGGGAGGACTCTTCGCAACACCGCATTTAATTCAGCCTCAATTAGAAGTTAATGACAGTCTTCGCGTGGAATTCTTGGAACTTTTTCTTCGTGTCCCTCTCTTCGCATTCTTTCTTCGTCTTCGATTTCGTTCGCCCATTTTCTCTCTGTCTCTACCCCAGTCTTGCTCCTCCTTTTTACGTCTTCCTCTCTGCTTCTTCCTCTTCCTCTTCCTCGTTCTCTCCCACCTCTCCTCCTACCCTCCTTCCTTTTTTATCTTTTATCTTATCTTTCGTTTCATTAGCCAAGACGACAATTTGGTCTTCATGCTCGAACTCACCTCGCCCCCCTTGTTCTCCGGGACGCCAACCCGCCCACCCCGCCACCCGCCCGGCAGAAGCTTAAAGGGGTTGTTCTCGTCTACGGCATGGGAGGAAACCTGCTGTTGGCCGGTTGGGGTTAGGGGGTTGGGGTTCGTGAAAGAAGGGTGGGGTGGGGGGGTGGAGGGGTAAGGGTTCAGGGAGGAAAGGGTTCAGGGGAGAAGGGTTGATAAAGGGGGGTTAGAAGAAGGATGAGTAAAGGGGGGGTTGGAACGTTGTTTCGATAAGGGGGGGTTGGGGGGAGAAGGGTTCGATTAAAGGGGTGTAGAGGGAGGGTTCGATAGGGGGTGGGTGAGGGGGAAAGGGTTCGAGTAGGGAGGGGGTTAGGGGGAAGGGTTGCGATAAGGAGGGGTTAGAGGGAAGGGTTCGATAGGAGGGGTTAGGGAGGGGATTATGGGTTAGGTTTGAGGAAGGTCAGAAAGGTGGGGGGGGGGGTTGTGGGGGTTGGCAAGGCAAGGCAGAGGAGAGGAATCAGAAGAGGTTCAGGGTAGAGGTTAATGGGATTGAGGATTTCGGAAATTGGAAAAATCTCGGTAGGGGGGGGGGTTATGGATTGGGGTTTGTAGAGGGGGGTAGGGGTTTCGAAGGGGTTGCCGCGGGTAGCTAGGGGTTCAAGAAGGGGTTAGAAGTTGTACGGAAGGGGGGGTGAAGGGGGGGGGGGGCGAAGAAGAGGGAAAGGAATTGGGGGAAGTTTTGGAAATAGATCCGCGGGGTGACGTAATTTCCTGTCTCGAGTGTTTATTTTTTTTTATTTATTTATGTTTTGTGAAAGCGATGCTGTCAATGAGTTTCCCATGCCTTTAGTATGAGTTTCCGGGAATTAAATACAAGCACTGAATGAACAACTAATAATTAAAAAACTAGCCACGAGTCCCATTGCTTCTTTCGGTAGATCTAAAACAACTGAAAATGTTCTAAATACAATCTGAAAATGTTTTATAAATACAACTGAAAATGTTCTAAATACAACTGAAGATGTTCAAGAAATACAACTGGAAGATGTTCTAAAATACAAACTGAAGATGTTCTAAATACAACTGAAGATGTTCTAAAGACAAACTGAAGATGTTCTAAAATCTAACTGAAGCATGTTCTTACAACACCTGAAGAAAATGTTCTAAAGAAAACTGAAGATGTTCTAAAGACAACTGAAGATGTCTAAGACAACTGAAGATGTTCTAAAGACAACAGATGAAAGAAGATGTTCTTCAACTGAAGATGTTCTAAGACAATGAAGATGTTCTAAAGACAACTGAAGATTTCTAAAGACACTGAAGATGTTCTAAAGACACTGAAGATGTTCTAAAGACAACTGAAGATGTTCTAAAGACACAACTGAAGACTGAAGATGTTCTAGAGACAACTTGAAGATGAAGACAACAACTGAAGCAACTGAAGATGTTCTAAAGACAACTGAAGATGTTCTAAGACACTGAAGATGTTTCTAAAGACAACTGAAGATGTTCTAAAGACAACTGAAGATGTTCTCTAAAGAAAAAGACAACTGAAGATGTTCTAAAGACAACTGAAGATGTTCTCTAAAGACAACTGAAGATGTTCTCTGAAGAAGACAAACTGAAGATGTTCTAAAGACACAAGATGAAGACAATGAAGATGTTCTAAAGACAAAACTGAACATGTTCTAAAGACAACTGAAGATGTTCTAAAGACAACTGAAGATGTTCTAAAGACAACTGAACATGTTCTAAAGACAACTGAACATGTTCTAAAGACAACTGAACATGTTCTAAAGACAACTGAACATGTTCTAAATACAACAAAAAAGACTTAAAACAAAGAAACAAAATTGAGATGGATGATCCCCGCTTGACCCCCCGCAAGTCGGCAACCTCCAGGGAAGGGAGGCTAATGGAGTAATTATTTTTCCTGGCCGTGAATAACTCCTGAAACTCCTTGCGGGGTTTTTGGGCCGGAGTTGGAAAGAAAGAAAGAGGGAAAAATATGTATATATAATATGAACGTTCTAGATGACCTGGGGGACACCGAAGAGAAGGGCAAGTGGTGTTGATTTCTCCTTTCTTCTTCTTCTTTTTCTTCTTTCTTTTTTTTTTCTTCTTCTTTCTTTTTTTTTTCTTCTTCTTCTTTCTTTCTTTCTTTCTTCTTCTTTCTTCTTTCTTTCTTTTTTTCTTCTCTCTTCTTCTTCTTTCTGTTCTTCTTCTTCTTTCTTCTTCTTCTTCTTTCTTTCTTTCTTCTTCTTCTCTTTCTTCTTCTTCTTCTTCTTCTCTTTCTTTTCTTCTTTCTTTTCTTTTCTTCTTTCTTCTTCTTCTTCTTTTCTTCTCTTCTTCTTCTTCTTCTTCTTCTTCTTCTTCATCTTCTTTCTCTTCTTCTTCTTCTTCTTCTTCTTCTTCTTCTTCTTCTTCTTCTTCTTCTTCTTCTTCTTCTTCTTCTTCTTCTTCTTCTTCTTCTTTCTTTCTTCTTCTTCTTCTTCTTCTTCTTCTTCTTCTTCTTCTTCTTTCTTCTTCTTCTTCTTCTTTCTTCCTTCTTCTTCTTCTCTTCTTCGCTTCTTCTCTTCTCTTCTTCTTTTTCTTTTTTCTTCTTCTTCTTTCTTTTCTTCTTCTTCTTCTTCTTCTTCTTTCTTCTTTCTTTTTTCTTTTTTTTTGCGAGGAGGGTCATGTTTGTTGGTATTTTGAATCCATTGATTGGTGTTGAAAGTTTAATTTTCTTTTGGGAAGGTTTAGTAATCTTGTTTTTGTTTGTGTGCGGCAGGAATTACTGTTTTTGTGTGTTTGCATCTGTGTGTCCGTGTGCGTTTCACTTTTACCATGAGCGAGTGAGTGTGTAAATGTGTGTGTGTGTGTGATGTGTGTGATGATGTGTGTGTGTGGTGTGTGTGTGTGGTGTGTGTGGTGTGTGTGTCCTGTGTGTGTGTTGTTCCTGTGTGAAAATGCGTGTGTGTGTGTGTGTGAAAATATGTGTTGTGCGTGTGTGTGTGTGTGTGTGTTGTGTGTGTGTGTGTGTGTGTGTGTGTGAAAATGGTGTGTGTGTGTGTGTGTGTGTGTGTGTGTTGTGTTGTGTGTGTGTGTGTGTGTGTGTGTGTGTGTGTGTGTGTGTGTGTGTGTGTGTGAAAATGTGTGTGTGTGTGTGTGTGTGTGTGTGTGAAAATAATGTGTGTTTGGTGTGTGTGTGTGTGTGTTAGTGTGTATACCTGTGCCTATGTATGTACCCATGCCTGTGTGACATGTGCATATCAGTATATGTGCATGAGTATATGTATGTAAGTGCATTAGTATGTTTAGAGTGAGTATGGATCATATTGCTAAAAATAAAAGCTGTTTTATGTTAATATTTTCATTTTTTCTTAGATAGACAGATAAATTCAGATACATACATACACATACATATACATACACATACATACATACACATACATACATACATACATACATACATACATACATACATACATACATACATACATACATACATACATACATACATACATACATACATACATACATACATACATACATACATACATACATACATGCATACATGCATACATACATGCATACATACATGCATACATGCATACATGCATACATGCATACATGCATGCATACATGCATACATATACATGCATGCATACATACATACATACATACATACATGCATACATTTATACATACACAAACACATGCATACAGATGAAAACACACACACACACACACACACACACACACACACATTTAACAATTAACAATTAACAATTAACAATTAACAATTAACAATTACCAATGAATATATGAAATAAGATATATGAGTTTACTGATACAAATCATATGGGAAGATTTGCCACTTTATGCGTAAATTTCCAAGATAAGTTCCCATAAATGCTGTGTTCTTAGTGTATGTTTTGCTTGGGTTCATTAGTTTTTTTTTTTGGCTTTTATGTTAATGATTTATATTTTGCTGTCTTTTGAATTATATTTTAAAAGAAATGTGCTTTAAAAGATGTTGGATTTTCCAGGGCACGGAAGACTAACTTGGATATGGGCTTTACATTTGTGTAAGAGAAATGGAAGTGAATATATTCAAAGAAAGGAAAAAATTATCATCTATCTTTTATACTATTAATAACCTTGTATGGTCTTCTAGGTTCTATAGAAACAGAAGAGGACCATTGTTTGTGTATTTCATGTCATCACACCTTTTCACTGGGTTAATGCACAACAATTTATACATCCTTTTCTATTTTCAGACTTCTTAATTGTCTTAGCCAAAGCACTCCAAGATGTTGACTGCTCACCTTGGTCGTTTGGGGATCAGTGCCTCCCAGCATGTTGTGTGCACTAAGCGATCGCTGGCCTGGGCCATGAGGCACATGCAGGTCGCCAATGCATCCAGCATAGAATACAGGCCAATCAAGTCCATCTTGGTTGCCAACAGAGGTCAGTCAGTGTCCCTGAAAGTTTCTGCTGTGTTGTGTATATAAAAACTGTCCTGATTTGCTGAAAAGGGCTTTATACTGTGTCTAACATTAGATTTAGTCATTGAAATTTTAAGCTGCCAAATGTCAAATAGATAATAATACTTGTTGTTAACATATATTTACATCCAGCAAACTAAGAAAATCATATGTCTTTTGTGTAATTAGACTGGTTACAGTTTATGTACTGCAGATGTACCAATATGATATTAGCCTCTTTGTTAAGTGTTGCAGTATTTTTTCCAAATAACATCATTACAAGGCACTTTTTTCAGGTGAAATTGCAATTAGAGTCTTCAGAGCATGTACAGAATTAGGCATTAGATCAGTAGCAGTATACAGTGAGCAGGACAAGATGCACATGCACCGACAAAAGGCTGACGAATCATACCTGATTGGCAAAGGACTCCCACCTGTTGAGGCTTATTTAAGCATCCCAGAGATTATACGTGTTGCAAAGGTAAGAAGTGTAACTTTTTCTTCATTAGGATTTTTTTTTCTCTAGTTCTTGTAACTTAAACCTTTATTGTTTGGATAAATTATGTCTTTGTATATACATGTTTTTTGTATTTAGAAATGTACATTGAAGAGAGGGATTAGGAACTCTGCTCTGACTTGTACTGAAATCTTCATGGACCTAAGCCATTGCTATTCTTCTTTCCAGGAAAATAATGTAGATGCCATTCATCCTGGATATGGCTTCCTCTCTGAGCGCTCAGACTTTGCCCAAGCTTGTCTTGATAACGGTCTCAGCTTCATTGGACCTTCCCCAGAAGTTGTCAGAAAGATGGGTGACAAAGTGGCTGCTCGACAGACTGCCATAAAAGCAGGTAATGCAAACTTTTCTTTAGGTCGATGTAATTATTGGCTATATATATAGATAGTGCATCAAAGGCTTTTTCTGTGATTAGATGTGTATTTTTTTTATATGGAATGTTTGAAACTAGACTATTTAAGGAGATAATTCTTTAAACAGGTGTTCAAGTAGTCCCAGGAACTGACCATCCAATTGTGTCTCCTGAAGAAGCACATGATTTCTGTGTAAAATATGGCTTGCCTGTAATGCTCAAGGCTGCTTATGGTGGAGGAGGAAGAGGCATGAGGGTTGTGAGGGAACTTGGTGTAAGTATAAGACTCAAGTTTGGATCTAATTAATTGGAGTATTTAGAGTCATAGCTCATGAATCTTGTTGATTAAAAATATTTTTACTTCCTTGATTGAAAACTATAATGTACTGACCTTTAAATACTGAAATTTCATTATTTTTTGTAGGAGGTGAAGGAAAGTTTTACACTAGCATCCAGAGAGGCTGAAGCTGCTTTTGGGAACGGCGCTATGTTCATCGAGAAATTCATCGAAAACCCACGACATATTGAGCTGCAGGTTCTTGGAGACAGAGCTGGGAATGTTGTGCACTTGTTTGAACGTGATTGCTCAGTCCAGCGAAGGCACCAGAAGTTGGTTGAAGTGGCTCCTGCACCAAACTTGGACCAGAGAGTATGTTGTAGAAATGAAGATTTGTTTTAATTTTACTGTGTAGTCTGAAATACATGTTTATATGAGACCTCTCATCTTATTATCTTTCTCACCTATATTATTTTCAATACTTTTATGCTAGAAAAGAGAAAAGAAAAGAAAAAACATATATCAGCTCTTCCTTTTCAGGTTCGTGAGGCTATGGCAGCTGATGCAGTTAAGCTGTGTAAAAGTGTTGGTTATGAAAATGCTGGAACTGTAGAGTTCTTATTGGACAATCAGGGTAATTACTACTTCATAGAAGTTAATGCACGTCTGCAGGTGGAACATACAGTTACTGAAGAAATTACTGGGTAAGTCTATAGTTTCTAACATTATGTTGTCCTAAGAGTCAAAAGTTTAGAATGTATTCTGTTATTGCTTAACTGGCTTTTACAAACCCCAAAACTTTGTGAATGTAATATAAGATATTGCAGAATACTTCAAATTATTTTTTTCTTCATTTGAATTTCAGGATTGACTTGGTACAGTCTCAGATTCGCATATCAGAAGGAATGACACTTCCAGAATTAGGCATGAGTCAAGAAAACATCACTGCTCAAGGTTGTGCTATTCAGTGCCGTGTCACAACTGAAGATCCTGCCAAAAGTTTCCGCCCAGATACAGGCAGATTAGAGGCAAGTTCATGTCGATGTTAAAAGGAAAATTGGTGAATTGGTTGTGTATATATATCATTGTTAAGTATGAATTTGTATATCAAATGTATGAATTTGTTTAATGATACATGCCAAAAGTTTCCGCCCAGATACAGGCAGATTAGAGGCAAGTTTATGTCGATATTAAAAGGAAAATTGGTGAATTGGTTGTGTATATATATCATGGTTATGTATGAATTTGTTTAATGATACATGATACATAAACACAATTATGTGTAAAACCATTAAATGAAACAGTACTGCAAGTACTGAAAGGAAAACTTGAATCTAAAATGCTTTTTTTTTTTGGTTATTAAACTTAAATTCATTTCAGGCAGTAACACAAAAAGTATAATTATTTTTGGCTTTACAAGCTGAAGAAAAGTCTAGTTTGATTAACTGCATAGAAAAATTACAATTTGTGTAGACTGAAAACCACTTGATTATGTCTTCTGTGTAAGATATTTACATACAAGAATATAAGAAAAAAAATAAATGGATGTAATTAGGATTCACCCACATGAACCTGTTGTAATAAATATTGCTAAAGTGGAACCTCAAAGTTTTGTAACTTTAAGCTCTTTTGATTGTTACTGAGAAACTTATAGTATTTGTAACTGTATAAGAGATTTCTTTGAATTTGCTTTGTACCTAAAACGTATTAATGTGCTTCTTTCTTGGCAGGTCTTCCGCAGTGGTGAGGGCATGGGAATCCGTCTTGATGGTGCCTCAGCTTTTGCTGGTGCCATCATTTCCCCCTATTATGATTCGTTACTTGTCAAAGTGATTTCTAGAGCCTCAGATCTCCATGCTTCTGCTGCCAAGATGAACCGATCCCTCCGAGAATTTAGGATTCGTGGAGTCAAGGTGAGGGAATGGTATTTTGCCTGGCCACCAACAGATAGGGGTCTTTAGGGTGTGTAGTTGTTGATCTTTATCTTGTTTAAAGATATCTGACATGCTGCTAACCTAGTACCTCTGTCTGCATTTGATGACATTCTTAATGTCTGAATTAGAAAATGTCCCATCTAAAGCTGAAAAAAGTGTATATGTTTAATATAACCTTCTCTTTTCAGACAAACATTCCATTCCTGCTCAATGTATTGGAGAATCAGAAATTCCTGAATGGCACAATCGACACAACCTTCATCGACGAGCACCCTCAGCTCTTCCAGTTCGCCCCTTCACAGAACCGAGCCCAGAAGCTCTTGAACTACCTGGGCAATGTTCTTGTCAATGGACCTATGACCCCCCTCGCCACAGGTCTTCAGCCTGCTGATGTCCAGCCTATGGTACCTGAAGTCCCATCTGGTAAGTTACAAGGATATACACAAGTAAATTGTCATAGAATTTTATCTAAATAATTTTAGATTTAGAATTTAAAATGTAAATGAGGGTGGACATTAGTCTGCACTATTTCAGTAGGCCTATTTTTTTTATGTAAAATGGAAGAGTAGAACATTTGGTGAAATAGTATTTTCTTTGAAATAAATTAGCATAATAGTTTGATTTTTAACCCAGTGTCCCTGGATGGTAGAAATACATTAGATGTTCATTGTAATTTTATTTTGTTAATTATGTTTACACTGAGATGGTTCCACAACTTGCTTGATCAACAAAGATTTAATTACTAATCCTACCTATCTTATCACTTTAACATTTTCCTTTTTAAAAAGATTTTATTATTTTTACTGTTTAGTATTTTGTTAACAATATGATTATTAAGGATAATTCAATAATTATATTTTTTTGGTTTTTAGTATTTTAATAACATTATGATAATTTTTTGGTTATTAGTATTTTGATAACATTATGATAATAATATTGGCAATAATAATAATAACAGTATCATTACTGATAGCATTGAAAAAAAATATTTTTTTTTTCCCACAAAGTCAATCAATGGGAAAATCCGGCACAGTCACTAGGGCCTACTAACTAACTCCTTAATGGCTGAGCATCTGTAGAACCATCTGTGTTTCAACAAAATTTTGCAAAGATCTACAGTGGACAGTACATGAACACAGGGTGAAAGGGTTGAATCACAGAACCAAGAATAGTAGTGCACTTGTAGGTAGATTTAAGTGATTGTAGTTTCTCATGCTTGATGTTTAGATGTTTGATATTTTCAAATGAATAATGAAATTAGAAGAATTTTAAGTGAAACATCAAAGGGTGGCAGATATTTTGAGTAGTTGCCTAAAGAAAACAATTAGTCACTGTTGCCATATTATTCCTTATACAGTTGTCTTCAGAGAGATTATGCTTGAGGGGGAGAAATTGTATTAAATAAGATTTACTTATTGAAGATTTCTACTTCACTGTTTTTGTGTATAGCTTCACTGGCTGTCCTGATTTTTAATTAACAATATGAAAGCTTCATAGAAAACCCGTACAAAAAATGAGATGGAGAGAGGACAAGGGAGGATATGACATTTTTACGTACTTTTGCCTCTTCATAAAACTCCTACACCTCTGCAATGTTTGGGGCCAAGGAAACATAATGTGGAAGGAAAGCGTAATGTTACAAATCTTAGAGTTCTGGACAACCATTTTTTCAGTTAGTGGAGAGACATCCATTGGATTTAAGAAGAAAGGTAAATAAATGAAAAAGGCTTTATGATAAACTGCGTTGTGTATGTTTCTGTGCACTTTGTGATGAGTTGTATCTATGATGCAAGTGTTTTTGTTGATAAGAGAAGAGATAAAGTTTTGTAAGATATCATATCATAAGAAAGTATTAATCACTGACGATTGAAATATATACACACGGTGATATGCAGATTATAAAGTATATATCACTATTTACCCAGTTTTAAATGTTCCAGACTTTTTTATTCATGGAAAAGGACTTGTTAGTAATACACTATAACAGTTGTACATAACTTCATTATTATTATTATCTCAAGTACTTTGTAAGTAAGTGTGTAAATATTGCAAGACATGTAAAGCTTTTTAGATAAATGCGAGCATATTCCTTACAGTTCTAGAAAAGAACGGATGTTGTAGCAATGTTTGGCAATGCTTTTTAAATACTGCTATGCTTAATATCTCCGAATTCACTATTAGTTTTCCAATAAATGATGGGTGTGTAAAAAAAGTTTTGACACCAGCATTTATTGCGATTTGACTATCAGTAAAGAGACATTTATAAAGGCCAGATGATCTCTACCTTCAGATTTCACAGTTGGTTTCAGTGGCAACACATGATTACAGAAGTGTATTACGTGACTGTTAGATAAATGAATTTTGGTGTTTTTAAGGAAAGCTGTTGCGGTATACCAGCAAATTTGGTATTTGACTATCAGTATTTATAATATGTCAGCATCAGTATGAGAAGTATTACCTTACAATGAAATACATATATATATTGTTTTTAATTTTTTTTTTTTATTTTTTTTTTATTTTTTTTTTTTTTGAGATAATAACTTAACAAAATGGACACAAGAAATTTTCATTCTCAAAAATGTAAGAGAATGCATAAGTAGGGCATTTGAACCTTGAATTTTGTTGTAGTAATTTTTGGAAAAGGGTGCAAAAATGTATTCTACTACATTTTAAAACCATGTTTAGTTTTCCTTTGTTTTATAGATATAGGTATATACGTGATTTTACAGTAATAACTAATTATCTTGCATGGTTTCTGGCAGCCTCACAATTTTATGCTCTTAAGTTTTTTTAAATTTCTTATTGGTCTAGTTTGATTTAAATCCTTATATCACAGGTAAGTATAACAAAGCAGTGAAGGGACAGTAATGCAGGATTCTTGCATGTAGCATATGCAGCTTTATTCTGTATAATGATTTGGTTTTGCTTTTGTTATTACTTTCTCTTAAAGTAGAAAATTTGCATGCCAGGTAACATTACCTTTTCAGGTGTTTGCAGTACCTTTTTTGTGAAATACAAGGAATCATAAAGGCAATGACGTATATTTTGCATATGCTCACAAACACACACACAGGTAATGATGTTTATTCCTTTATGGCTTTTACTCCGTTTTCAGGTTGAATTTGCAATGAAGCTCTAATAAAAAAAAAGTGAGAAGTTAGGCTAGTTAGCTTCTCAGAACAAGCATTGAATCATCTCATTATGTGAATTCTTAAAACCCCAAACAAACATGTTATAACCTTTACTGTCAGTTGATGTACAAGTATACTGTGTAGCAGAGGTTTTACCACAGTGGCAATGTTATTTTTACCAGCACTGTTAGCAGTACCACCAGTAGGTTTTAAGCCATATCCAAAATGATGATAGCTGGGAGACTGTTTTCCAGTGTCACTGTGCAAGTGGTTCTTCACACCTCTCCTGTATGATTAGAAAATGTTGTAGTTTTTAAAAGTTTGTACCAAACAACCGCATTTATAGGAATTAGATTTTTAAGAGGAAGGTCATACTGGTCGAAGAAGAGATTTTATGATGGGGCAGTAATGATTCTGTCAAAGTAAAGTTAAATACTTTGATCTTATTGAAGTACAAAATGGCAGGTGTAACCATGGGTTTAGAAATGCAAAGAGAATGATGGGTAATAGGAAAGCAGATATAGTACAGTATATCATGGGGTACAGAAACCAAAAATATTCGTCAATGATTAGTCAAAAATGAAAAAGTGAGAGAATGCAGTTTCTGTTAAGAGACTATGGGGTGCTAAGGGGTTTAAGAACAAAGATTTTGAAAAGAGAGGAACTTCTTGATTCTCTGATGAAATGACAAGAGATTTTAAATGTTCCTCGTTTACCTCTCTCTTAGCAAGCAGTGATGCAGGTGGAGCTTGGAAATCTGGTATGTTCATTGACTATGTGAGCGGATTACCACTTTTTTGACACTTTGGTTTTAAGAGTATTTTCATTCACTTGAAGGTGTTCCACCTAGTGCATGTACTCAGGTGCCTGATATGATTGTCATTTATATATTTTTTTGTCTTCTTTTCATATTATTTTTCCTTGTTCTTCATCATTATCATCATCATTCCTTCGTCATAATTATCAGTTTTTTGTTTCCTCCTTTCTATATCACAATATTTTTCTGCATCTTGGAAGATTTCAAATGATGATAAAAAACTTAATGCAACGCAGGCTTTAGAGCAGGTGCAAATAACAGACTCAAGGCTTTTAGTACAACTTCTTTATGAAAGGCTTCAAACATGAAAAGAACAGTTAGATGTACAGTGCAATATTTATATTAGAATGGGACTGATGTATATATTTTATATTACTCTGTACATTAACTCTCTTTAAGCTTGCTATTCATTACTTTTAATATGTCTGCCGAAGTCACAAATACTTGCAGAGCTGACTGTAGCTTATTTAACCATCTAAAGGCAGGATAGCTTATGTCATTAGTTCTTTACAATTGTTTGAGAATTAGTTTTTATGCTGAGTATACACAGACACAAATTAGAATCACTGACAACCACCAGTAAATTATATTTCTTCTTAGTGTTTTCTTTAGAGAAGTTCATCTGGAATGGAGTATAAGAATAATTAGAAAGTTGAGATAAAGAAGTAAGAAAGTGTGCTCATTGATTATGTTGATAATGTATCTCATTCTTTTTATTCTTTTCATTTTTTTCTTTCACCTGTGCAAAAGTTAGATTTAGTGTTATGAAAGGCTTTGCAGTTTATTTGCTTGAGCCATGAATTATCCTGCCTTCACTGGAGAAGATACATTGTATAGTCACATTGTATAATTGTATGATATGTGTCTATATTTATGTGCAAAGTCTCATGCTTATTTGTGTGTTGGGAGTGATCAATTCACCATAATAACTGATATAGTGATATTCTTTGACTGGGTACAATCAATAAAAAGAGCTATTTTAATTGAAACTCTTTTCACCATTTTTTTCATACAAATTTACCCTCTGTACATACATATCAGTATTGTTTCTTTAGAAATTAGATGAAAGGAAAAAAAAAAAAAAATCCTCTACAGCTTTTTCACACTTGTTCACTATTTGACAGCGGTCGAACCCCCAAGAGGCTTCCGTGATATCCTCCTGGCAGAAGGACCTGAAGGTTTTGCAAAGGCTGTGAGGAACCACAAGGGACTGCTTTTGATGGACACCACGTTCAGGGATGCGCATCAGTCTCTCCTTGCCACCAGAGTCAGAACACATGACCTACTGAAGGTAATTTGGGCTGATTCATTTAATGATAAAGAGAGAGGTGTTTATTCAAAGACAGTTTGGTTTCTGTTGATTCTAGGAAATGTAGGAGAAGGTATGAATAAGGATAAATACCTTCTCAGTGCAGGAGATTTCACTGCTGCATTTTGCATTGTGAAATTATTCCTTCTAATTTATAATTTTTTTTCATGTTTGGGTTGTATTCTCAAGGGTGAACTTTGAGTGAATATCTTTATACATTTCAGAACTGCTCTGAATAACCTGTGAATTAGGGGTAAACTTGTTTTAATGCTAGAAATATTATGGAACTGCTTTGTTTGTTTATATCAAGACAAGGTTGTTAAAATGTCCGTCACTATAATATCTTATTTTGTGGATGATAAGGTAAAAGCCAAAAATGTATTGCCCCTTTCGTGCCGTATGTGATAGCCATACTTCTTAACTTTTTCACTACCATGCCTCCTCTAGGAATTTGTATGTCTCTGCCACAACTCCCTTGCATCAATCCCAGATTTTAAAGAAAATTAAGAATGTTTTTAGTCATCTTCTTGAATGAATTAGTCTCATTATTATCAATTTTCTCATTATTCTCCTAGGGAGGTATGCCCCCAGGTTAGGAATCGCTTGATTAGATTGTTTGATATGATTGCAAAGTTGTTTTAACAAAATTATATATAAAAATGGCAATATAGAAAAAATGGAAAAAATTAGTGTCAAGTAAGTATCATTGAAGTGTTTGATACACAGAAATTTAATGATAAGACTTCCATTTCCTCTTTTTCAGATCTCACCCTTTGTAGCACACAACTTCAACAATCTCTACTCACTTGAGAACTGGGGTGGTGCCACCTTTGACGTGGCACTCAGGTTCCTCCACGAGTGCCCCTGGGAGCGATTGGAGAGGATGAGGGCGCTTATGCCCAACATACCCTTCCAGATGCTCTTGAGAGGAGCCAATGGTGTGGGCTATACCAGCTATCCTGACAATGCTGTGTACAAGTAAGGGAAATACTAATATATGTGTGGGTTTGGTTATGCTCTTTTTTTCTGTAATTATTATTGTTATCTTACCTTTGATTATTTTGTTGTTTCAATATTGTATGTGTTATTTGCTCTGAATATATCTTTTTTATGGTGCCAACAGATTAGTTTTTTTGTTTTGTTTTTGACATGCGAAAGGTAACATGAGTTTCTTCGTATTTCAACTTTCAGATTCTGTGACTTGTCTGTGAAAGCAGGAATGGACATCTTCAGGGTGTTTGACTCACTCAATTATCTCCCCAACCTTTTGCTAGGAGTTGATGCAGTAGGCAAAGCAGGTAAAAATTTTAAAAATAAAGTCAGCTTCAGGGATGTTTAGTACACATGTATAAACAATGGTAAAAGAAAGTGACTGAAAAGAAGTGATAGCTTATTCTTGCAGAAATTACCAGAATTAGGATGGTTATTGTGTTTTCCAGTATTTTTAGATCAAAGGGAAAGTGGTTAAACTAACTTTTGCCATGGTGTACATGCATCTCCCCCACTTGATGTGCTATGATGCATTTTTTTTCCCATTTTAATAGTGTTGCATATTTCTCTGGTGAATGCAGATCATTTACCAGTTAAAAGCATCAGATATTATCAGCATGGCATTTTAAAGCCCATATATTATCCACTGCAGCTCTGTCATGAAGTAGAGAATGAGATGATTTTTATAAACTGGGAGTCTATGGCATCTATTTTCTGTGGCTTGAAGGGTTTAACATTCATATCAAAGAATATTATTTAGTTGTACTTATGTAGATATGCAGCTCTTGTGCAACATTTTTTGTGTTAAAGAATTTACTACCAATTTGACTTTTCTCTTCTCTGCAAAATGAAAAGGTATTGCATACTTTCTACAGGGTGCTCATATGTAAATCAATCTCTTTTACAGGTGGTGTTGTTGAAGCAGCAATATCATATTCTGGCGATATATCAGATCCATCTAAGACAAAGTATACACTTGACTATTACCTGAATCTAGCAGATGAATTGGTGAGGGCTGGAACTCATGTCCTCTGCATCAAGGTGAGATAATTGCCGGTGATGTGTGCTATACATAAATAGTAAGTTTTTTAAAAGTCCATATATATAGATAAGTTGTATAAAAGTCCGTATCTTGAAGTAAGTTGTTTAAAATTCCATATGAGTGTAAATATCAGTATGATTATTTCATTAATTGATTTTTGTTGCTGCAGTGTTGCTGCACTGGGGTGTAGTATCAAGGTTGCCCACACAAGTTAAAAATTTGAAGTGTGGAGAGATATTTCTCATTGTCTTTGATTCAGATTTTAAGAAAGAAAGTGTGGAAAAACAATGAATTAGATGACTTTGGAAGGCAATCACTCATAAACTAGCATTATGGCATGCAAAACAGACGGTAGTGTCTGTTTTTGTGGCATGGATGGGTACATTCAAACCCAAGGAAACCTACAGGAACAGATGTCATGTTAGGCGTTACTCAATGCTGAAGGGAAGAGAAGATATTTTGCATAAGCTTAGGAAGGGAATGGAAATAATGGAATGAATGAAAAATAGTTTACAAGTATCTATATGATTTTTTTCCATATTGAAATCTTATTCAGTCATTATATCATATCTATTTCATAAATTAGAAATATATAGGAAATCTATGGTGTCCTAGTCACATGTATGTTGAATCCAGCATGTTGAAAGACTAGGTATACCAAAATATGCTTTTTAATGTAATGATTTTTGTCCATCATAGGATATGGCTGGGCTACTGAAACCAAGAGCAGCCAAGATGCTTATATCAGCCCTTCGAGATCGTCACCCAGATGTACCTATTCATGTGCACACTCATGACACATCAGGCAGAATTTTCAGACAACCAGTCATTTTGAAAAATTCATTGCATGTAATAATCTTCATTAGATGGAAGTTCTGGATCTTATTGATACAAAGTAGATAGTGTATCATTTTCAAACTTTGTCATTTATTACTCTTGTAAATATGTTATTCACTTTTATATAAGAAAGTCAAATGTTTTAGTGTAGGGGAATAAACAAGAAATAAAACAAAACCACAATAAAGAATATTGGTACAGCATTTACTTGATTTATGTACAAAGTTGATCAGGTTATGGGATTTTTTTTTTTTTCCTAATTTCATATTTTATATCAAACCACAAGATAAATAATTTCTCATAATAAACATCAAATAAATCTCATCCAAAGGCGTGGCCTCAATGCTCCAGTGTGCTTATGCGGGAGCTGATGCTGTTGATGTGGCAGTCGATTCCATGTCTGGAATGACCTCACAGCCTTCCATGGGTGCAGTGGTTGCCAGTCTGATGGGAGACGAGTTGGACACAGGCATGAATCTCGGAGATATCAGCCAGTACTCTGCTTACTGGGAACAAGCAAGGACACTCTATGCTCCATTCGAGTGTGCTGTGACCATGAAGTCCGGCAATGCTGATGTGTACTTGAATGAGATCCCTGGTGGACAGTACACAAACCTTCAGTTCCAGGTAAATTTTTGTTATTTTGTTAGCCTTGGTCTGTATGGACAGTAGACCCAGGTATTCTATGCTGTTCAATGTTTTTGTTGGGTGTGCAAAAACTAAAGAAGCTAAAGAGGTAATTTGCTATTTCTTCAGTATAAGCAGGATGCATGTATAATTTTATGACTGATTTTATTTTTAGGAGCTTTAGACATTTGTCATGAGAAGTTCACATAGAGGTATTATGTATTCAATAAAGTTTGAAATATGGAAGCTGGCATTTTCCAAAAAATTATGTTAGTTGACTAATTTATCATATATGATTTATTTCCTCAGGCTTACTCACTTGGACTGGGAGACCAGTTTGAGGCTGTGAAGAAGGCTTATCGCGAGGCAAATCTTCTCATGGGAGATTTGATTAAGGTGTGATGAACAAAATTAATCTCTGTTCTGCAGAGAGATCTTCAGTGATTCTGTCTTGAGACGAAGTTGATTTATGTGAAATATTGATTCATGTCTTTTATGATAATTTGATAATTGAGATGTATAGCATTTGCAGGATTTTGGTTTATATGTATATTAGGGTATTGACATTCTCATTATCCTGATATGATAGCTATTATTGTTAATATTATGTATGTTATTATTTTTATCATTATTATTACTGATATTATTATTACTTATTTCAGGTGACACCATCATCAAAGGTAGTTGGTGATTTAGCTCAGTTCATGGTTCAAAACAAGCTGTCTGCTGCTGATGTGGAGGCAAATGCTGAGAACCTGAGTTTCCCCAAGTCTGTGATAGAGTTCTTCCAAGGCTATTTGGGTGAACCTTATGGAGGCTTCCCTGAGCCTCTCCGCAGCAAGGTAAACTGCTTGATCTTTGCTGCTTAAGTAACATGTATGATAGTATTGCAGCTGAGAGATTTATATCTTTAGCAGATTTGTTTGTTTGTTTGTTTCTTTTGTTCTTAATTTATCTTAGATTTAGATATGAATATTCTTTATTTGTGTTAGCATTTGTCTAAAGTAAGTGTAATCAAAAAGAAACTTTATGAGGTAACCTGGTTGAAACAAATGTTGAGATCAAATTTTAGTCGTAAGTATTTACTCTTCTCCCTTCCTCCTCAGATCCTCAAAGGATTGCCAACAGTGGATGGAAGACCAGGAGAGTCAATGGCACCGATGAATTTCCAAGACATGAAAACCAAACTTGTGGAAGAACATGGTCCTCGCATCTCAGATTATGATGTCCTCAGCTCTGCCATGTACCCACAGGTATGTTTTGGCGGTAGATTTTGATTTGCTGTGCTTAGTAATTTTTTAATGTGTGCGTAGTGCGTGTTTTCATTCTCAGTAGTTTGGGAGGTAAAAGACATATCAATATAGTTCTGTAACATTTCATCAGTTTGTTAAAGAGAAAAATTTTCTTAAAAGGGAATATGAAAACATTGATAATTTTATCCTGAAGCACTGATGACTATCTGTGCTGGCAGGCTACAGTGGTATAGCTATAGGATTACATATCTTGCATCATGTAGTAATGGTTATGAGATATCTACACACTGATGATTGTGTGCATTCAGCCCCTCAATAAAAAAAAATCAGAAGCTCAGTGAGCACATGTGTACCTTATTCTGTAAGCATTTGGTGGCATGATACACAATTTTTTGGCATCAGAGACAAAAACATGCCCAAAGACAAACAAGCAACCAACTGTCTAGGGCACACAACTTGCAGCTAGGTGACCATACAGTAGTGATTCATTTTCTTTCTTTATTCTTGGTACAGGTGACAGATGAATATCTTCGGTTCCGTGAAAAGTATGGCCCAGTGGACAAGTTGGATACTCGTATCTTCTTAACAGGCCCTAAGGTAATGAAATTGCTGTTGAATTCTAATTTGTTGTATACTCATTCCATATCATAAATGTTTTTTTCTTACTTTATATGGTATTTGGTGTTGTTGCTAAAAGGTAAACCTAAAATCAGAGAGTTTTGTTCAGAGTCATAGTGTAACTCATTATTTTGTTTATTTACATGTAACTTGATTTATCAGGAACTTTCATGGCATATATGGCAAATCTCATGGTAAAATACTATTTGCAGTCTCGTTATTGATCTGTCCTCAGTTAAAATATCATGAAATACTGTGGAGAATACTCTCTTACATGTAAAATTTGAAGTTAGCTGTTACTAAGAACTTATACAGATTTTGAAAAATTATCGTACTACAAATCCCTTCTACACAGATATATTCAATAAGTTTTCTAGTATGTACTTTACAAGGAAACTGGCACTAGCAATTTTTTTTTCTTTCCTTTTTTGTTTTCTTATCTATTGAACAATCTAAACATCAATACCTTATAAATGTGTTAATGTCTGTATGGAGTTCACTTTATTCAGTATTTGCTGAGGAATATTGAATATAATTCATATCTGATAACATCAATTTTACAGTAATACTTCACTCTGTCGTAATTGCTCTGCACAACATCCAATATTTACCTATATATATAGAGCATTTTGAGTAGCTTCATGATAGCAATTAGTATTTTTTTATGTTTGCTGTCAGTGGGATTTTGACTGCCAGGAGTTGAATAATATTTTAAACACCACATAGCAGTATTAGAGCTCAAACGCTTCACATATGACCTCTGTCCCTAGTGTTTGACATGATCGCGGGTTTATAGGTGCACATTGACAGTGTTCCCTGTTTGTGACTGGTTCATTCGGTAGTTTGCGGGAAACATTAGGTACCTATAAGTTTATATTTTCATACAATTTGTAAAAGTATTAAATTTTTTAAAGTATACCTTCTCTTCAGGTGCTGTTGCCTAAAAGTTTTACCATACAAATGATGTTGCTACAATTGTAGAAAAACAAGCTCCATCTAATGAGCCGATAGTCGTGTTTGATGCCAACCACTACTTTGTCCACAATAGCCATGGCATGTGTGTTTATGCCACCTGGCGGGAAATAGTTAAAGCTGCCATCTGCTAAATCAGAGAGATGATGGATTTTAACTCATTATTAAATAAATATTTCTATCATAGGTTGGAGAGGAGTTTGAAGTGGAAATTGAAAAGGGTAAGACTTTGCATATCAAGACCCTGGCCATGGCAGAAGACCTTACTCCTAATGGAGAACGTGAGGTCTTCTTTGAGTTGAATGGACAGCTGAGATCTGTCATGGTCCGTGACCAGACTGCTGTCAAGGTGAGGATAGTGACATTTTGATTATTTTGAAAGTGATTCACAAAAATGAATGACATTGGGTCCTTTCATTATGGACTTATTGATACATACAGTTTGGTAGTAATTTTCAAAATTAATGTTTGTATTCTATCCAACAGGAGCTGCACATTCATCCCAAAGTAAATGCAAGCATAAAGGGCCAAGTGGGAGCTCCGATGCCTGGTACTGTTATTGACATTAAAGTGAAGGAAGGAGATGAAGTGAAGAAGGGAGCCTCCATGGTAGTACTATCTGCGATGAAGATGGAGATGGTCGTCCAGAGTCCATGTGATGGTGTCGTTGAGTCAATAGCTGTCACCAAAGACATGAAACTGGAGGGCGATGATCTAGTGCTGACAGTAACTCCCAAATGAAGAGCTGTGTAAAATCATGAACTCTTTTCACCAATGTGTCTGGGTCAATGGTAACTCTGTTCTTGGATTTGATTTGATTTATTTATTTTGTTTTTTTCTTTTATTTAATTAAAGATTCTGAATGTATAAGTATCATATGGCAATAGAATGACTTTTTGTCATGTTTCCTGCATTCATATGTGGTTCTTTCTGACAAGCAAAGCAGGCCATGATCAGGAAAATTTCCATATGGTAGAAGTTGTGCATGAAACCAACCATGTATCCAGTTTTTGAAAGGTTGAAAGGGAAGGCATGTAGAAAGGTCCATGGAAAATTGTCTCTAACTTAAAATGTATTTCGTAAGGAAAACAAGGAAGAGGGTTTGAGATTTCTGTACAAAGTTCAGATTCAATATTTTACAAAAGAGAAGAAAAAAGTTCAGTACAGCTAACTTTTAAAAATGTAGGGTAAATAACATTGGTCACAGCAGACCATTTGTAGAATAGAAGAACAGTATTATGAAATGAGTTGTAACGTATAGTTTCTGTAAATCATATTTTCTTCTTTTTTCTTTCCTCTCTCAGACATTTTTCCCTCATTTTTGGTATTACAATTGTACAAGGAGGCATGTTACACTGATTATCCCAGGGACCAACCCACATTCAAACACAAGTAGGATAGAAAGATCTTAGAAAGCAGTCTGTTAAGTTGAATTGGATTTATATTCTTTTTTTAAACACTAAATGAAGGAAAGGCTGAATTAAGAAATAGATATAATGCTTTTTCGAAAAATATATTAGATTTTCTGAGAATTCTATATATAAAAATTTGTATTTGAATTTGGGAAACTTTGTAGAGGGAGAAAAATTTATTTTGAAGGGATGTGACAATCTTTGTTGCATGTGTATTTTCACATGAAAGATTTAGTGTTATACGTATTACCAGTGTGGAGAGAAAGGGATATTTTCACACA